CCTCCCCCCCCCCAATAAACCGTCTATTAAAAAAATCGTCTAAAGTTCGATGGAAATTTATCCTACGAGATATTCTTGAACCATCTTGCAAAAAAATACCAAAGAGAAATGTTTCTCCAATGTCAAATGACTAAGTAAACTAGTCCACGTTTACAAGTTATACTTTCTTTAAAGGAACAATACCACATTTTCACCTATATGCAGCTTAGGCGTGATGCGACTATGCATATAATAAGTTACCGCTCGTATGGCATTAGCAAATACTAAATATAGAATAAATATAAGCTGCCAGATTTTCATTAATAAATTCATGAAGTATAAACGATGCCGTATAAATTCATTCGAAATAGATCATCCTTAGTCAGATAACCCATAAGCAAAAAAGGCATCTAAGTAATTAGTCCTTGTTAGTAATTTTTGAACTTTTGTTTGAAATATTGCTAGCTTACTCTTGATCAGGGATGACTTTTATTTACAAATCACACCTTTTAATAGACAAAATCAACCAGTTTCTTCATGAAAGCGTATTAGAACTTTGAATGTCCTAAGTAAAGCTGTTAGCATTATTTGGACGGAATTTTTTTAATCCCTCGGGACAGAGAATAGATTCATCACTGCCATATTACTGAAAAATCGGTTAGCCAATTAATTCCCAGTATCAAAACTGCCTATAAACAGTTCTGAAAACGTTCTGTACTACTTAACCAGAATTTCTCAATTTATTGATTTTCTAAATAAAACCAACGATTACAACAAATATGGTCCTGAATGGCTTATGAAAATACAGACTGAGCACACGTACTGTGGGAAAAAATTCAATAAAAATCTGTTGAAGACTTTGCAACTAGTGTTTAAAAAATGGATAGGTATAATGGGATTAAGTAGACGCAAATTGCAAACTAGATGTTAACGTACTTGGTAATTTTCTTCCTTGGCTTGCAACAATGCGAGCACTTCGCATATTCTTTTAAGGAAGAGTAAAATTTGGGTCTTTATGGCATATATATGAATGCAATAACTATATGGGCACAAGAATATGCAAATGACAATAGGGTCTTTCTCTATATTATTGGGTAAGACAATTTCCACCAATGAATTTCTCTTGAATTCGTCGCCTCCAATAGAATTAGTTGCACAGTATCATAACTCATTTTGCTTGTGCTTAAACCTCCAATCGGAACCTTAATTCGAGTCAGAGAAAGCGGATTTGTTTTCCGATATTAAGAGTTGTTTTGATAACCAACCAATCAGATTTGAGCAATAATTACGGCATGTCCTAGTTTAGCAATTGTAGGGTGTGCGATAGACTTACCTCCACGTGGTGCACTCTGGGTAACGTATACTAATACGGCAAAAAGTCTATAAACCGGCAGTTGATTTTTGACTTTAAACTACCATCACCCCACTGTATGTCATATTCGACCACTTCCACAGAACTCACTTCACCTTTTTCTACCTTTGTGTCTGTCTCTTTTACATTTTTGAAGCACTCTTCCGTTCCCACCCCCCTCTTGAATTTCTTCACCTCTGTGAAGCCTCTAACGATAACCATCAAAACGCCTGCCATTTGATATAAATTTGGCAATTGTTTAAACTTAAATAAATTCGGAAACAAGCAAAAAATGTTAATAAATTAGCAATGGTCTATGTTCTGAATAGCACGACTTGTGGTTTTGCTATTGTTGGAAGAATAGTTGTGCAGGACCAATTGTTATACTTCCTAGAGTTGATGTTTCAATAGTTTTTGACTTTTCGCATCTCCTTAAAAATGATTTTATTTTTGGATGAAGTTGGGCTAGGCCATATAATTACAGTTACACCCAATATGACTCACGAAGTAGTCTGACGTCAATTAACAAACTGGTCTACTGACTTAGATAAAAATGCAAATTCGTTTATTGTTATCTGCACAAAAAAGTAGTGTTTGTTTTCTTTCGTCAACATACATCATTCTTTAAGTGATTTGAAAAGGAAGAATTTTGATTAAAGTTCGCAAAGAGGCCCAATCAGAGTTGAATGCCCTTCAAGAACTCATTTCAGGCGTGTTGTATTATTTCAAGTCACAAAAATACATACAGAACAGGACGACCGTTTTATCATATGCGATTCAGTTATAAATTGTGGCTCCCATGCTACCTTTATAAGAAAACTACAAACTAAACATGGAACAGAAAAATCTACACATCAAAGCTGGACATCTATTTAGGAGCAATTTAAGTGGAACTAGCTTTCTAATTAAGTAGATCTGCTGTCGCTCTTCCCATGTGCAGCAGGCCATTATCTCGATTTTTCAACTCTTTCAATGACACGATTGCTCTTGTTGGAGAGCGCAGATAGATTTTACTTCAAGTGTTAATCCGAAAGATGTGTACCATCGGTGTCATTCAATATTCAATAAAATTCAAGCTTATTGCCATAACTCTGCGTAAAAGGAGTATTAAAGATTAAAGCATATGGGATAAGAGGTGAAACATAAACTCCATTTAGGTAGTTTACAAATTGATTTTGAAAGAGATTAAAATGAACTTAAGAAGAATCTGAAGTCAGCATTTAATGTCGCTAAACAGACAATTCGATTTCCTCAAGAGATATTTATAGAACTGGAGAAATGTCCAATCAAATTGAAGGACCAATTAAATCATTGCTTAAATGTCAAAAATACAACTGGTTAAAGCTTCGTTGAAATGGCTGGTTAACTGAAGATCAAAGTGAATGGAACGTAACAAAGGGCAATAAATTATTCGTTCAAAAGGTTACCGTCACAAAGACAAATGTAGACCTGAAAATTCAACGAAAAAAATGCAAAGGCATAAAGAAAGTGTTGAAAGTAACAATTAGATTTACCAGGGTTCAGAATTGAAATCTTGCCGACTTAAAGAGAAGAAATCAAAACTTAGATGAAAAATTGAGGCTTAAAACCAGAACTCGAGAAAGTATCAAGAAACCAAGGCAAATCAGCTCAACTTGATACGAATCGAGGGAACTATGAATCAGCATTAATGAAAAAATAAATCAAAGGACGATTAGGCAAAGCTCAAGCAAAGTAGTGGACGGCTAGTGAATTAATTTATAAAAGTCGAAAATATTTAGCATTTATTGACTGAGAAATAAAACAATTGACTAAGATATACTTAATAGAGAAATAAAGTCTGCAAGCATACACCTGAAGTCAAGTAAGCCAACTATTTTGATCATAAGGCCAGACAAACAGACTCAAGTATTTTATAATATTTAAGTTCGCCATAAGAGCAGAGCGCAGCATAAGTACATATGAATGAAAACGAACATTCAAAAAAGTATTACAGTTACTAAGTAGTTTGTTAGCCTTAATATCTACCGTTAATAAATATAAAAATTGAAATATTTACCTTACTTCCCCTTAAATATAAAAATATTATTTACCGATATTAAACCTTTTTAAGCAAATACTTTAACAGATAGCCTCAGCTGACAAGGGGTTGTGCACGCGTAGGTTAAACAAGCAATTAAACATGCGATATTTCGATTCCACCAACCAAATGACCGAAAAATTATAACTTCACATCACAACCAATTACCTGTGAGGCGCGTCATTCTTTTGGTGTGTGTATATATTCAAGTGTAAATGATTGTCAGAAGTTGGTTTCTAGGACGAGTTGGCTACAATAGGGCTCTGCGTTTACAAAAGGAGCTCATCAACCTTAATACCCGAGACAATAATAGATGCCCAGCGTATACCATATTAATGTTAGAACACAGTCCCGTTTACACAATAGGCATTCGTTCTGAAGAGTACTCAGAAAAACAACAGGAAAAATTGCGAGATCACGGAGCACAAGTCATCAAGTTACTTAATTTGTTTTAGCAGCAGTTATTGGTTTTATTTTAGGACTTCTCGTGGCGGCTTAATCACATATCACGGACCCGGCCAATTAATAGCTTATCCCATTATCAATTTACGAGGATCCGAATTAGTTAATAAGGGAATAAGATGGTACGTTGAAGCTCTCGAGCAAGCAGGATTCGAGACCTGTGAAGCCTTTAAACCAAATGCATTTCAAAAGGGCAGCGAATTGTTCCCAGATAAAACGGCTGCAACTGGAGTCTGGCTAAATAGGAACAATAAGATCATGTCTATTGGTAGACTGAACTTTGGCTCTTATATACTATTTCCTCTAGGTGTACACGTTACCCGAAGCGTGGCGCATCACGGAGTTAGTCTCAATTGTACAAGCGAGCCTTTAAAATGGTTCGATAATATAGTCCCCTGTGGTCTTACAAACTGTAAAATGGCAGCATTAGAAACTGTTACGGGAACGCAGTTGACCCCTGATGATATTGCACCAGTCCTCTCCGAACGTCTTTTCACCAACCTCTTCAAACATGGGGATGACCTTGAATGTACCTATGCGGACTTCCTTGCCGATGATGAATCCCTGACTTGGGAAAAGGTTTCCCAATTTATCCTCGAAGATGCCGACTTTCGAACAAAGAAATTGCCCAAACAGGAGGCACCACTGCAACCTTAAATCACCACCACCGTCCCTTTGTTTATTACTATGTTCACCTTAGGCAATATATACGCTCTCGTGTTTTTTTATAAACGCAGTTATGAGCTCCAAGATAAACGCAGAATAAAAATATTCCGTGCAATTAGAACCTCTCATTAGAGAACACACAATTTTGATAAACAGGCAGAGATACAAGGAAGCTAGGTGGGAGACATGTGGAAAGACAGTGAGAGGAGACAGCTTAAGCATCTCGTTTGACTTTTTCCCGAGATGTCTTCACTAAGAATTCTACCTCTTCCTCTACCTCCTCCGAATTGGCTCTATCAGTATCAGTGCCTAAAAAAATAAATCGAATAGTAAGTAGGCCTAGGTTCCAATGCCAACCCGAAAGGGTTACACGTCATAAACTACACGCACCACGAAGCTTATCTCGCTTAGCCTTATCGGCGGAATATCGCGAAAGTAGATTTGTTCGCCAAGCATTGAACTTGGAAGTAAGTGTCTGTCTTCGTTCGATGACATCACGGCTAGCTTTGGATGCCAGCATCTTGTCTTCCGCGTCGAATTGCGGTGAATACTTGGTAGCCAGGTCTTTCTTGATTTTCTATAAGATAGAAGAGACAGGAAAATGTTAGCTTAGATCTTTACCCAATTAGCCATAGTTGAGTCATAGCCTACATTCATCTGTTCAGGAGTAAGCAAAGAGGGAGGGAAAGGTCTCCAAGCAAAGAGCTGAAGTCCAGTCATCTTTTTCTGGTAAAGACTACTCCCAACAGAGTTCCAGAACCATACACCGTTGTCAGACTTTTGTCGGAAGGAGGTGACCACGGAGGCAACGTAACGCCCAGTGCTATCCCAGTGGATTTCACCAGCCATGGGATGCTCAACCTTGCTGAGTGCTTGACAATCATTAGCGTCAATGAATTCTAAGGAGGCATCAGCCCTAAATAAAAATGAAAAGGCAACAAAGCGATATAAACCGATTCAAAAGGGGGGGGGGTATGATCACTGCCCCAATCTTACGCATTTAAATTAGCAACAACAAAGGTATTGCCTTTAGGAGACCACTTAAGACAGTTAATACGAGTATTTGGGCGTTCAAAGGTGGCCAATTCAGCGACTTTTCCCGATTTTGTCAAGCTATACAGTGGAATGGTATTTTTGTTGGAGTTATCCACCGCAATATAGGCAAAACGATTTCCCGTCGGCTCCCAAGCAAAGTTTGTCAACGATGCGGCGTCTTTAACAGTGATTTGGTCAATTGGGAAGAGTTTCTCCCTCAAACGCACAATTTCAAGGTTGATAAATGTTCCAAGGTATTTAATTTGACCCTCTTCCATCTTCTTTTTGTTGTACCTCTCAACCTGGATACAGAGATAATCACCCTGAGGATGCCAGTCTAAGACAATCGAGGCAACTTGGAACAAGTTCTTAGTGCACAGCTCCTTTCTCGAAGGAATAGATATCAAAGCCACTCTAAAACAACAAAAACATCGAGTTAGAACACAAAAAACGCACCAATGTATAAGTGATTAATTACCTAGAAGGAGTAGAATTCGTTTCCTGAGTCCAGAAGGCAAGAATGTTTTCAGTGGGGGAGAATTCAAAGTTATTGATAGGTACCGGAGCAGTAATCGGTTTGCCATCGACAAGAGTAAAATCTGCTGTTCCATAGATATAAATTTTTCCTCCCTGTACGGTTGCCACGTAAGCATCATCATGGGACCATTTAAAGGCAGGCCAAGAGCTAATTGCGCCAGAGAAGTTACGGCAAACAGTTTCCTTGCAAATATCCCAAACAACCATGTCATAAACCGGATTGCTGCCTCTCGATTCGGGCTTTTGACTTAGAGTCACCATGAATCTAAAAGCAAAAAATACCCAGAATTAACTAAGAATCTTGCAGCGAAATCACAAGTTACTATACATTAATAATCCAAAACTTACCTTTCATTTGGAGAGAAGTCAATCATGGAGGCATTTGGATGAGCGTATCTCCCAATTCGATTGAACTTATCACCACCCCAAAGAGCAATACCTCTTTGATGCATTGTAGCCAAATATGTTCCTCGAGGAGACCACTTAATGCAGCTTTCAGACCAACCCTCTCTTTCTTCGATAAGAATCTCCTCAGTATTGGTGTGCCAATAGATAGAGACTTGGGCACCATCTTGATGAATTATGCTATACTGATCGCGAGCGAATTCATTGAGCAACCAACTATGAGGGTTACCGACGTCTAAGTAAGGCTTCTTTTCAGGGGGAACCCATGTTTTGCTAACGTCGATACATTTATTGTAATCAGAAAAAAGAGTTGTTTGGAAAGTATGCGCTTTATCAAGAGGAGTTTTATCCATTTCTTTGCAAGCCTTCGCAGCGGACTCGGGAGATTCATATACGATGAACATGTATCCCTTAGACTGCTCATCTGCATCAAGCGGCATAGTTTTGTAAATAATATTCCCGAAAGAGGAAAACTTCTTAAGGACGAAGTTCGTTAAAGCCTCAACTTTAGCGGCTGGAACAATGGGACAACCATCAACGATAACTACGTTTGGTGCCATACTCTGTGGTACTGGCTCCTTTTCCATAATGTCAGGCATTAACTCTAAAATGAAGGAGTAGACATATTTTCGTCGCAAATAACATAGAAGGACTTAGTGAACATATTTTCCAAGCAATTAAAAGTCAATTTGAGAAAAATAGTTAAAAAACACATTAATTTAAAGTAAAAATCTGCTTGCCAGAATCTTTGATAGGCGCCATGCTCCCAACCGTACGACCAAATAAATCAGAAATGAAAACAACATGATTTTGGGTAGCCAATCAGGGAACGAATCAGGTGATTTGCTTCAATAGTTCTAACTTTATATTCCCTGTAAGAATTTCGCTAAATCTATTTTAAAGTAAAATTTTTTGTTTTTATATTTTATTCAATTTTATTCTAACGAAATGGCATTAAGAAAAGTAGAAATCAAATAAACTGATTATTGTTTTGCCAATAATTGGTTAATGAAATTTATAGACCCAATATGCTTTCTAGAGGTTAAAAATTTAGACAGAAAAATATTTTTGGGTAATTTCAAAGCATATAAAATAATGAAACCGTGTCAAATATGTTCATTTGAGCTGTTTTGAGGCGTAAAACTTTCAAAACTGCTGAAGTTAATTACGTTTGTTTCTCATTTTGTTATGATGGCATTGTGTGATTATTTAACATTCATTAAATAACTCTGCTTTGGATGCTTAAATAATATATAAACAAGTTATTAATTCATGTGCTTGAATGTATAAACCAAATGTGATATTTAAATCAGTGCAACTTGGTACACTATTATCTTGTTTGAATTCCCATATTCGATTTCTACAGAAATCTGTAGGTTATCTTGATTGCCCTTCTCACGCAAAGTATTATCGAGTGCAACCAATAAAGATAAGTATGGATTTCAAGAAACCGGATGTTTAATGATAACAGAAAAAACATCTAAAAAGAATTCGTTGAACTGTGAAGTAAAATTAGATTAGAAGGTAATCCACAGTATTCGCAGTCGAACAAAAAAATATGTGTACAATATTACCGATTAAGTAATTCGATAGGGCATATAAACAGTAAATTTGGGTTAGAGAATCAAAATGTTTCAGAAGGTTAGATAAGGGAATTATCTCCCCGATAGTTCAGATACTGTGTTATTTCGATCTCATTTCACAACCTACAGAAATTCAGTATCATATTTAAAAGCAAATTGTTCGTTTTGATTGTGGACAGGTTGTCAGGTGAAAAATTATCTGCTAACGATTGAGAGCGACCATTCCATCACAGGAGTACAGGTGTGTTCCGCGTAGTCACAAACAAATTACATATCATCATTTGCAGTGCCCGTACATAAAAATATTTTGTATGAATCGGAATTTCGGTAGCTTCCTCTACTACCTCCAATGTGATCTTATGAAGGATTTCAAACGATTATTTGGCCTGCTTATTCCAGACAATCGATAAATATAATATTATTAAATTTCTTGGAGTTTGGAGGAATTATTCCCAAACAATTATCTTTAAGAAAAACGCAAATAGAAGCACAGTATTACATATTTATTCCGCTTCAAACAACTCAGACAAAACAAGTACAATATGCCAGTAGATATCACCCATAGCAACCAGAGCAGAGGCGGCTTGACAGGTCAGCTCATCTGGGCCGTGACCTATTGCCACTGCTCGCTTGAGGACACTTTATACCAATGTATCTTCATTTTTCATGATTTAAATCTTACTTATATTTTCTCTCTCCCTCTCCGTTTAAATATATTTTATACACTATCTTAGCAATAAAATTTCCAAAACACTTTCACCCTGGTTAAACCCTGGTTTAAATAATTGAAGTATGCAAAGCAAAGTATGTAGGAAAAATAAAGACGAATTTGTAAGAATGGCATATAAAATTAGTAAAATATCAATAAGGGGGAGGGGGGGGGGTAGGATACAAAATCTTGGTTTATTTTTCAAATTGTTGCAGGATGGAAAATAAGGTTGCTCTAATTTGACGAAAAGTTGGCCTATTTTCACGAATTGATGACCAACAGCTTCGCATCAAATTATAGACCACCTTTGGACAGTTCGCCGTTCGTGGTAATCGATTTTCTTCAGTCAAAGCTCGTATCACCTGTAAAAAAGCATTGTAATTCTATTAAGGAATGCGACTCTAGAAAATTTCCCTTTAAATGGTACATACTCCGGACACATCCACATTGCCATAAGGTAGGCGTCCTAAAGAAAATATCTCCCAAAGAAAGATTCCAAATGACCAGACGTCGGTGTCCAAATTGAAACGTCCTTCAAGTATTGATTCCAGAGGCTGCCATCGTACTGCTATCGGAGCCTCGCTATCTACGTCCACAAAGTCTGCATTAACAGTTCCGTGTGGCAACCGCCGAGCCATAGAAAAATCTGCAAGTTTAACACATCCTCTATTCACTAAGCAGTTTCGAGTAGCTAAATCCCTGAAAAGGAACATTTGTTTTAGCTCTACTGAAATTATCTAAGTACATATGGTCAACACAAGTCATTTACCGATGCACATAGAGCCTAGTACCCAGGTAGACCATAGCTTCACAGATATCTAAAGCAAAGCGAAGAAGATCGGTAATGGTTAGACTTCCAAATCTAAGTATTTCATCAGGTTCCTTTTCGCCTATATGTTCGTCGTCATTGTCATCCGTGGTACTCACAGCAAGATCACAGGATATATTCGAAGTACTAGGACTGATAGCTGACTCACGGGCTCGGTGTAGGAAAGTATTCAAGTCACCGTCACGCATGTATTGATAAATTAAGGAGAATGGTTGGAGAGGAACACAGATACCTGAAAGAAATAAAAGTAATGGGCTATCATTAAGATTCTTTAAAAAAAGGCGAAGTGCATTATTGGTAATAGCGTTCAGTCACTAAAATAAGAACCTACAAATGAAGTATGGAAGGCAGAATGATAAAAAATACATCGGAGTCAACTGTTATCCAAATATGGAAACATTATGACAACTGCTTTTCACCACCACCAAAGCATTCACATGTCCACGACCTTGCTCGTAGTGGAGACGCTAGAAACTCTCAAGTGTGCACTGGGTTACCTTATGGACGCTAAGTCTTCGGTTCGTTCGTTGCTGGTCTTCAAAGAGATTTGCTCGGCACCACCTTGCATTCTTCTCATTGTTGTGGTGTTTAGTAAAGAACTCGATAAAGAAGATGCTTAACAGCTTGGGCTAGATTTTAACGCTACCTAACTTGAACCATAAACAGATGTCTGGTCAGTGCTACCTGTGCCTTTACGGCTGCTATTCACTAAATCACCAATGTAACCTCACTTCGAAAGATCCAAAAGGGTGCAAATAACTAGCACGCCAAGCGATCAGACAATCGGAAGTGGATTAATTTTTTTAAAATGTGCTATTAAACGAACCAAGTAAACACTGTGTTTCCGGTGGAAAACCATATTGATATTAAATTGGGATTAAATGTGTGTACTATTTCATTAGCCATCAACATATGAGGAAGCGAATTTGTAAAGAGCAATTCCAGCAGTGTACAGATGTGGTATCGATGAAAGCATCAACTTTACTAACTTGTTCATCGAAATGTTAAAATGATGAGGGTGAACTACCTAATGCTAACATTAGTAATAAGTTAGGAGCAGCTGGCAATGATCACCAACAAAATGATTTTCTTATAAATAGAATTAACTTCTCATCATGATGATTACAAAAATGCTCTGATAAACATATTAAGTTATTGAAGCCATTATTCGAGTATAAATATGACAACGAATCATTAAAGAAGTGCATTCCCAGGTCTATGCAAAGAAATTAATCAATTTTTTATGTAAAATTCGATACACAGCTACTATATTAGAATCGCGGGGTGCGTGATAGACTTACCTCCACTTGATGCACTCTAGGCAACGTAAACTCATGCGGTAAAAAAGTCTACATACCAGCAGTTGACTTCTGAGTTCAAGCTATCATGACCCCACTGTATGTCATATTCCACTACTCACAGTACTCACGTCACCTTTCATCTACCTTTGTGTTTGTCTCTTTCACATCTTTGAAACGCTCTTCTGTTCCCCTACCCCCCCCTCTTGACTTTTTTTCACTTTGAAGTTCCTCCCCCTCTGTGAATCCTGAAGTCAACTCAAGGGCTAATGATAACTATCATAAAGCCTACCATTTGATATAAATAAATATAAGAATCGGAAGCGGTTTAAGAGACTGAAGAGGAAACTCATATAAAATTGGTTGCTTCTCAAGTTCTATTTTCACAAAACATCCAATGACTATGAATTAATCAGTTTTCTTTAAATTTAACAATATTTCGCAAATACGCTTCATGATAGTACTTATTAAAATGAGTATAGTGAAATGGTTTCACCAATGCATTCAAATCACGGGAACCATAACAAATAGTGAATGTGGAAACGTCTCACGTCCACGATTTGGTTCAAAGTAAACCAAATGAAATAGCCATTGTGAGACAAATGTCTGCATTTAGAAGACCACACGCTTTCCAGTTCTGCTTTCTATTTTCGAACAGAAATGGAATTAATGCGAAATGTAAAACGCAAAAAAAGTATGTTTTGTTAAGCATAAAAAAAGGCTTCATTCTCTAACCCACCAATAATTTTAACAATGTTTGGATGATCCAATTCAATCAGAAGATCAGCTTCCTGGAAAAAAGATGTCTCAGCAGCCGGGGTCGCTTCGTAACTCAAAGTTTTGACGACAACGTAAGGCGGCTCTGAATTGTTTCCTTGTGCTGACACATATCGGCGTTAGTTACAAAAAGAGGCGCATTTAAAAATGGGTACTTTTAAGTGCCACTAGTACCGATTTAAGTAGCAAACCCTTACCGGAATTGATGAGACTTAATCTCTCACGGAGGGGCGATTCGGAAGCTTTTGCAAGTATAACATGACCGAAAGCTGATTTAGAGAGTGTCCTCTCCTCCACTAGTAGTTTCCGCGAGTAGGACATCTGTTTCAGTCTAAAAGGTGAAGAGGGGGGGGGGGTAGATGCGAACTTATTTCCATTCCACTAAATAGTGGAAAGTGCGCATTTGATAATTATTGAAATAACTGTGATAGGAATTCGAAAAACAAACCACACACAGTGTGGAGTTATTTTGCTTCATGATGACTAACTCCCATAGGTTCCAACTCATAGGAAGGCGGCAAAACAAAACTCAGTTGACATTAACATTAACATCATGAAGACAGTTTGCAGTCTTTTATAATACAAATAAGTAATAAAATGTCTTGAGTTAACTGCATTCCCTCTCAAACTTATCTTGGGGGTGCGCAATTGACGTACCTCCACGTGGTGCATCCTGGGCAATGTATATTCAAACGGCAAAAAGTCAATTAATAGTAGTTGACTTCTGACTTCAAACTAGTTTGACTGTTTGTCATATTCGGCCTCTTCCACAGTACTCATCTTACCTTTCCTATGCCTTTCTATCTGTCTGTCTCTTTTACAAATGTCAATCATTATTCCATCCCCCTCTCGATTTGCTTTCACTTTGATGTTCCTCCTCCTTTTTGTGAAGCCCCGAAGTCAGCTAAAGGGCTAATGATAACTGTCAAAACGTCAGCCATTTGTAATAAATAAATGTCTTGAGTTAACTGCATTCCTTCTCAAACTTCTCTCTCTCCAGGAGCGTGAGTCAACTATAAGCTAATGATGCCTATTGGTAGTGGATGGATATCATAACATCAGAGTCGGTGCTGCTGGAGGTATTACACCATATAAAGTAGTGCTTTAGAAAAATAGGGGACAACTGTGAAGCTACAAAAATAAATAAATAAATATAATAAAATGTCCAACGTATGATTGACAAGTAAACATTTAATAAATAATTGTACCATTGACCTTTCAGCCGTTTATAAATTGAATAATGACAACCGCCGTTTTCCCTGAATTTGATTGGCTAAAGAAGGCCTGAAATTTAACTTGGTTTCCCCCTGACACTCCTGAGGCCACTCTTCATATCTACCGAAGATGGAACAGATGTACAAATTATGCCTTATCTGCTCCTCCTTTTTCTGGAACATTTGCGAATATAATAAAGAATGATGAGTGATTCTTACTTTGGATGAATGAGCTGCCTTACTGAGACAAGCATGAAAGCGTTATCCAGTTGGACTCGATTACTTTGTTCCTCATCAAACACCTCCAGAGTTGAAACTTTTCTCTCGAGGAGAGTTCGCGAGGTTGGCTTAAGTGAGGAATGATGACTATCAAGAGTGCCCGGCGAATACTGCTCATCAGATTCCTGATCCCCAACCTCAGAGTCCAGATGCATGAGGCAGGGTTGATTATCCATTTCCTGTTGTTGTGCGGCGGCAGCCGTTGTCGAGGCAGCAGTGCGGTCGACCCGGTCTACTCGGGGACGACTTTGGTTGAGGAATTCACGGAAGTGTTGAACCTCCTCGTCTTCGTCATCGGGGATGGATTTATTCAGTTCTGGTGCTGCGAACTTTCCATCGACCTATGAAAAGTGGGAACCATTTCAGGTTTATGTCCATCGCTGTATTTAGTGTTATTATAAGTGAGGTCTAGGCTGTTTTTATGCTAAGAACTGCTGCGTTGATCTATGTGCCCACTATATGTCAGCAGGATACTGTTGGCTAAGAGTCGGAGAGTTGTTAAAAGTTACAGTTATGCCCAAGATACCTTAAAGACTAATTAAAGACTATATATGAATACAATTTATCCTCAATTTGACGCTGTTAGGCAACTAATATTATGCAACCTGGGCAACGTATACTCATGTGGCAAAAGTCCACAAACCGACAGCTGACTTCTGACTCCTAACTACCATGACCCCGCTGTATGTCATATTCCGCAACTTCCAAAGTACTCACCTCACCTTTTTCTCTACCTTTATGTCTGCCTGTCTCCTTCACATCGGTGAATCTCTCTTCTGTTCCCCGCTCTCCACATTTTGAGACTCTGTCTATTCCTCCCCTCTGTGAAGTCCGAAGTCAGCTAAAGGGCCTAATGATAACTATCATAAGGCCTCCCATTTGATATGAATAAATTAACATTTTTAACTACTGCCTTGCAAAGTGCAAAAGTACTCATTCCACCAAATCACTTTCAAAGCTAGGCACACAACAGAGTATAACTTTTTCGAACTATTGTAGCCATAACGAAAAAAGATGAAGATCGAACAACGAAAAAGCCTGGTTTCACTAAAGAGCTCTTCCAATTTTACCCACTCCCTCCTCCTCAATAAATGCAACAATGAAAATAGCAACAAGAGCATAGGCCAATAGCTCTTGTTGATTTGATAGACAAAATGAGTTTCAAGTTATCTGAACAAAAACTGACTGTTAATATTAAAGTGATAAGGATTGTCATTTTGAGCAAAAAATGTTAGCTTATTTAAGATAAACGCCGAATCCACGGTAGAGACTTTACTTGCAAAGAATATGATTTCAACTTAACTCCTACCACTTTCTCCGCCATATTTACAGTTAAAATCAACCCCTCCGACCAAATAAAAAATAGACAATCTATCATCGAAGTATCTTTTCAGCGACCCTTGATTTTTCACCAAAAAAAAAAAATAAAACTCGAAACAAAAAACCAGACAGAAGGCGAATTGTGAAATGCATGTAGCAAAGTGTAGATACATTGCGTCCGGCTGCATAGGATGCTTGAACGGAAAATAAATAATAAAATAAGCGCCCTTTGAGCGACTAAAGGGCAGTTGTCTATGCGAGGCAAGTAGACTCGATAAATTACCTCTTTCCATGGTGAGTTTCTGATAATTTTGTGCAATAGGAGTAATCAACAGCCAAATGTTGAGCTCTGATACGCTTAAAACACCGTTGCTATCTTCTCAGTAGTCTTACTTACAAATGAAGCTACAAGTGGCGCGCTCAACCATTCAAAATTCGATCGACTCGTAAAGTAGGAACCACTCAAGAACACAGGGACCAAACCATAGAGGTCGAGCTTTTGAAATTTTAGAATTAGAATTAGATGTGGGGTGCTCGATAGACTTACCTCCAAGTGGTGCATCCTGGGCAACGTATACTCATACGGCAAAAAGTCTATTAACTGGCAGTTGACTTCTCACTTCAAACTACCATCACCTCACTCTATGTCATATTCGACCACTTTCACAGTACTCACCTCACCTTTCATCTACCTTTGTGTCTGTCTCTTTTACACCTTTGAAACACTCTTCTGTTCCTCCCCCCCTCTCGACTTTTTTCACTTTGATGTTCCTCCCCCTCTGTGAAGCCTGAAGTCAACTAAAGGGGTAATGATAACCATCAAGACCCCTGCCATTTGATATAAATAAATAAGAATTAGACGCTCTCGAGAAAGCGATGTTTTCAGGTTTCAAATAAAGTAAGGCATATGACATCCTCAGCCTGGTTTTGTTACTATTCATTGCATTCCTTCCTGGACTATGCGAATAGTTATTGTGCAAAGACAGCATCCAATATACTTAAGGCTTTTGTATTTTTGAACACAAATAATAAGTAAATTAGCAACGAACGTAGACGCCCACGAATAGATTTGAAATCGTCTCAACTTATCGAATACTAAACACACACACACACACACACACACACCTAAAAAACAATTATGAATCACGCCGCAAACTTTATGCTTTGTCTAGCCATACAATTCCCTCAAGCGATCATACAATTAATGGGAAAATTTTTGGTGGATGTATTCGCGTCTCGACATTTTAAGAAGCGGTCTAGACGGACATCGACAGTCGCGACAAAATGGCGTCTGCCGAGGCGGCTTTTATCCCCAATATATGTGTATATATAGCAAACATCTCATCAATTCTAATGGGTCTGAGTCGATTGTAGCCATTGGTGGTGGTGGTGGTGACCGTTATAAGACTGGTTAAACTCTAAGCTTCATAAACCGAAAAGAGTAAAATATCGGGAGACTTCCGTATATATCGGTCTTTGCGAAGGCAATAATTCACTATCTCCAGTACAAAGATTGGCTAGGTACATATAAGTTGACTTATTTCGAAAATAATTTTGTGGGCAATCTTTGAGTCTGAGGCAATATCTAAGTTTGGGTTTTATTTCAATTTCCTTCATAAGGGTCGAGACATGCCACCCAACCAACCAGAGGGTGAATCTACTAATTAATGGTTAATTACGATAATGCTCAAATTTGTGAATCCTTTCGAGCTTCCTCGAAGTTTAATATTCGAGAAAGAGGGTAAAAATGTCTTGTCTAAGTGTTAAAAAGATTAAAGTATTTCGTCAAACCAGACTTCTAGCAGATCCTTTATCCAGGAATAGAAAACCTCAAATTAGAGGGAGAGGAAGTGTAATTCTGGACAATAAAATAAAATGATCAGTTATACCTCCCGACCCCCTACAATACGAGACAGATTAGCCTCTCTCTCTCTCTCCCCCGTTCAATATGTCATTATGGGGTTGACCGATAGACGCTAAGCAAAAGGTCCCTCCACATTACAACACACACACACACACACACACACACACACACACAC